TCCTCTGATTTCTTCAAACCTATGTGAGAAACATTCATACGCTAAGTCGTTGGCTTAGTGAGGCAAAATATGAATCATAAAAACTTTATAAACAAAAATTCTTATTCATATCATAACACATTTCATAAGGGATTCACATTGCTTTTCATAACATAAATAGAATATTTTCATTGATCGGTTCATATAACTTTGTTTTAATGCCCCAATATATTAAACTAGGTATTTTAGTACATTGAGGTTGTGCACTAATGTTGTCACCACAGCTCACATAATTTGCACCGATGTGCCACATAGTTGTCCCGAAGGACCACATAGTTTTGTCTCGAAAGACCATATTAGTTTTATCCTGAATGACCACATAGAACCCTCGACTCTTGGTATGCCAACTATACGTCTAATCCTCATACATATACCTTGGGGTTTTAACCACATAATTATTAGTCATTCCATTATTCAAAAGTATATCATGATCACATAAGCATTTTCACATCGAGTAATTTCGTATACAAATGTTCACATATCACATTCGAATAATCATGTACACATAACCATCAAAACATAACTTAAGTAATATAACACGAATAAAACATTGTAAAAATGTAACATAAAAGAAATTGAAAAGTTTTCGATCGAAAACTCAGAGGTTGGCTTATCGTAAGTCGCCCTTGAAGCGAATATAAACAAATTATTTGTACTCACCTTTGTCTCACTAAAGTTCTAAACGAATCCTTAACACTCTTGATCGATAACTTATAACGTCGAGTTATCTGGAAATTGACTTTGTTCGACGTCTACACAAGAACAATCGAAAATGAATATCAAAGTTCAAATCATTTATAACCAATCAATATAAATTAAGCTGAAAGAAACACTTAGTTTATCATTTCAGGCTCATTAGTATCGGTACTCCCACTACAGTACTGATACTTCCCTTCTATGGTATCGATACCCACTTCGCTACCGATACTATTTCGACATTCTGGAATTTTAATTTGATAATTGTATCGACACTTAACATTGGTATCGATACCCCCATTTTAGTATCGATACCTCTATTAAATAGTACCGATGTTGATCCTGGAATTCAAACAGATTTTACCTTATAGTATCGGTATTGTTCTTCCAGTACCGATACCCTTGCCAAGAAATTACAATTTTCATTCCGAAATTTAATAAAAACTTGCCTAAATCTCCTATTAAGCCTTTAAACTCAAATTCATTCATCAAAACCAATTTTTCTCCAATAACCACTCCTAAATATCCTAAAATCTCACTAGAACACTTGCATCTCAACATCATACCATATTTTCAATCATGCTATTAATCATTTCTAAACTTTCTAACTCCTTCAAAAGACCCTTGACAAGTCAAATTTAGCAATAGAAATCCTAAAACTCAACAATATCAACATATCTCTGACAAACCCATTTTTCAAATCCATCAGTAGCTCAATCATCTTTTATTTTTAATCCACCTAAAACTTCCCTTAAGTTTATATATCACCCAAATAACAAGAACCAACTTAAAATTTCAAGAAACAAACAATTTTAAATCAACTCACCTTTGAAATGGAGCTCACGGGAAAAGAAAGAAGAAGAAAAAATATTAAGCTTCTAGATATATCTTCTTATCCAAAAACCCACATTAAGAAATGAATTTTTAATTCATTTCAGACAAAATACCACTTTTCCCTTTCAATCTTCCATCTTTGCTAATAAGCCCTAAACAAAATTTCCAAAATAAATTCTTGGAATTTTCAACTTAATTTAATTTAACCACTAAATTTTAATTTCTTATCTTTTTTGTCACTGACCCGATGTTTGGGTGTTACATGGACATCATTATTCAAGCTGATGTGTGATGCAAGCGATTTTTCCGTGGGAGCTGTGCTTGGGCAATGCAGAGGTAACATTCTACATGTTATATATTATGCTAGTTGTACCTTGAATGAATCACAACTGAATTATACTACCACTGATAAGGAATTACTTGTCTTGGTATTTGTATTTGACAAGTTTAGGCCATACTTGATAGGCCCCAAAGTCATTGTTCACACTGATCACTCAGCTATAAAATATTTAGTGAACAAGAAAAATGCCAAGCCTAGACTCATTAGGTGGATATTACTACTACAAGAATTTGACTTAGAGGTGATATATAGAAAAGGTACTGAAAAGTAGGTTACAGATCATTTATCTAGGCTAGAGAAAAATTCTAAATGCCATGACATTTTAGATATTCAAGAAGAATTCCCTGATGAGAAAATTTTATATGCCACGATAATTTCGTGGTACGCTGACATAGTCAATTTTCTTTTTAGTGGTATTTTGCCTTATGAATTGAACGGACATAGCAGGAAGAAGTTCAAGCATAATGCCAAGTTCTACTTCTGGGACGAGCTATATTTATTCAAATAATGTGCCGATCAAATAATTCGACGTTGTGTCCCTAAGGAGGAGCAAAGAGACATTCTAAACCATTTCCACACAACCCCAATAGAGGCCATTTCATAGGTTCAAGGAATGCTACTAAGGTCCTTCATTCATGCTTTTATTGGTCGTCACTGTTTTAGGATGCTCATGAGTTTTGTAAAGCGTGTGATAGATGTCAGTGCACTGGGAACATTTCCAAGTGACACGAAATGTCATTGCTAAACATTCTGGAGATCGAGCTCTTTGATGTGTGGGGCATTGACTTCATGGGACCGTTCCCATGTTCTTTTGGATACTTGTATATTTTGCTTATTGTAGACTACGTATCTTAGTGGGTTGAAGCAATTGCCGAATCGAGGAATGATTCTAAAACCGTGCTCAGGTTCCTTCATAAAAACATCTTAACCCGATTTAGAGCACCTAAATCCATCATCAGTGATGAAGGAACTCATTTTGAAAACAATCTAATTGTCAAGGCATTACAAAAAAATGGAGTACGGCATAAAATTGCCACGACATATCACCCACAAACCAATAGGCAAGCTGAAGTGTCCAACCGGGAGATTAAGCAAATTCTAGAGAATATGGTGAATCCTAGAAAGAATGACTGGTCCCCGAAGCTGGATGAAGAGGTATAGGCTTATTGAACGAAATTAAAAACACCTTTGGGAATGTCATCTTTCAAGATGGTGTATCGGAAAACATGTCACCTACCTATAGAGCTAGAACATAAGGTATATTGGGCCATCAAGAAGCTTAACTTTGACGCGCAACTAGCTGGGGGGCAACGTTTATTCGATATGAATGAAATAGAAGAATTTCGAGCATAAGCATATGAAAATTCCAAGTTTTACAAAGAAAAAACCAAGAAATGGCATGATCGAATGTTGCTGCCAAGGCATTTTCATATTGGCCAGCAGGTGCTCCTTTTCAACTCAAGGCTGAAGCTCTTTCCTGGTTAACTAAAGTGTTGATGGCTCGGACCTTTTGAAGTACACCATGTATATCCTCATAGCGTTGATGATTTCAAGAATATAGATAATGGGTCCATTTTCAAAGTTAACGGTCAGCGTCTGAAGGCTTATCACAGAGCTCCGCCCTTACGTGACAAATCGAAACTCTTCTTGCAAGATACCGGAATCTGCTAAGCATTTTTAAGATGCCTTTACATTTTGATGATTTCAGAATATAGATATGGGTCCATTTTCAAAGTTAACGGTCAGCGTCTGAAGGCTTATCACAGAGCTCCGCCCTTACGTGACAAATCGAAACTCTTCTTGCAAGATACCGGAATCTGCTAAGCATTTTTAAGATGCCTTTACATTTTGGATTTACTCCTGCACATAAATAAATGTTTATTTTGTTTTATATTATTTTATATTCAGTTGTTTTTTGGATAATTAATTTATTTGGTATTTTTAGGGACCCACGCAGAAGATATGTGGAAAATCGTACGGAGTGGGGAGCACCAAGATAAAATTAGGAGGGAAATTTTGACCTTTTGAATTTTTAGGGTTTACTTTTTCATTTAATGGTGTTTTTTTATTTTTCCCCAACTAATACCCCATCCACCCATTAAATAACCCCCATTTTACATTTTCATCTTATTTTTACCCTTTTTACTCTTTCATTTCATCTTCATCTTATCTTCTTTTTTCCTTCTTTCAACCTGAACACCATAGCCAAAAAGCTTCAAGCTTTTTCATCTTTTCTTTATTTGTCAACAAAACCATGGTGCTTATGTCTTTCAGGCATGACTCCATCTTCTCCACATGTTTCATGATGAAGCGATGCAAGACGATTTAAAGGCTCAAGAACTGCAAGTTTCTTTGAGTTAGGCTTCTCTTCTCTGACGCTAAAGATGTTGACCTCGGCAGTGATGTCATGGACATTGTTCACCAGCACTAGTGGCAAAAAATTTCCAAGCATCCAGGGAACGTGAATGTCTCTTTGGTGAAGGAGTTTTATGCCAACTTAACCAACCCAAATCAACATATTGTGGTGGTTCATGGTATTTCTATTCGTTTTACCTCTTCGACTATTAATTGTTATTTTAACTTGTAGGATATTTTTGATAACCACACCACATTCGCAAAAGAGGCAGATAATGAGACCTACCATGGCATCGTAGAGGACCTATGTTTCTCAAACACAAAGTGAAATAGGTAACAGGTCAGTCGACATAATTAGGTGGATCACGAGAGGCTACAAGCGAGGCTAAGTTGTGGAATCATTTATGAAGCACAAGCTTCTCCTACTGCCATAACACCACGGTCTCACATCAAGGATGCTTCTGTTGCACTCTATTTTGGTAGGCGTTCCATTGACATAGGCAATATAATTGTGGAACAAGTTCATACTTGTTTGAAGTAACCCGTCAGTGCCTTGGTATTTCTAAACCTCATTATGGCTCTCTATCGTAAGAAGTTGAAAGAGAGCAGTTTGATGAAATATTGCATGGGTGTCCCGTATTACAAAGGCCAAGATGCCTATGTTATTTGGATTCAAGAAAAACAAGGGAAAAAGAAATAGAAGAGTATTTCTCGCGCTGATGCAACCCAAGATGCCATGGTAAAACAAGATGCTCTAGAGGAGGTCGCTAAGCAAACCCAAGATCATGTAAAATAGTTGACTAGTAATATGATGACCTTCTTTGCTTATGCCAAGTGTTGGGACGAGTTTGTGGTGAATGATTTCATAGAGATTCTCCCGTACGTTAATCTTGATATTTCATTCTTCCTTGATATACTCTTGTGCCTATCTGAGAATGACTAGGCATCAGAAGATGCTCACCATCCCGCTGATAATGAGGAGCCAGTCAATCCTGATCCATTCCACTCAGTGCCAACAACTGAATGCCAAGAAACTAAGCTTCACCTCTCAACCTTACTAATAACCCCGCAACCCACAGAGCCACTGGAGGTAGTACAATAAAAAATGCAGCAGCAAATCCCTCTATGAAAGAGTAGACGCAGGTTGAATAAAGTGTCTCGATGAAAAGAGCCTCAACTCTCCCCAGTCCCTGAAGGCCTTAGGACCCCCTTATACACCAGCATCAGATTCTGAACACTCTAGCCCCACACAATTACGCAAGCACCCACGTCGCATGTCTGTCATACTACCACCAGCATAAGTAGTCAACTTAGAATTTTTTTTATAAGAGAACTCTTGCATGCCTTGGCATAAAACTTTGATAATGAATAATGAAAACCCCACATAAAAAATGAAAATTTTTCTAATAAATGGTTCGGCATATCTGTAGAGGGACACTCTGTTATACCATGGCATTGCTTGGAAACTACATTTAAATAAATGGCAGCCACAACGTATGAGTGAATAAAAGTACTCACGGGATGACTCTATCTGGCTAGCTCGGGGGTGAAAGGTTGCTTCTTTCACCTAGAGTGTGGGATGCTAGGTGTGATGGGTTGACTCCCCTCGTAGCAGTGTTAAAGAAGAATAAGAAGAAAACAGTGCAGGAGTAAACTTGTAAATGTCGTGGCAAAACTAGAGAGTTTATTTACAAATTTTCTAGGTTTGTTAAGATGGACTTGATACAAGGCACACACACACTCACAAAGGATCTTGTCCTAGGGAACAGTACTTGATTTCTCAACTATCTAGCGTGTTGAAGCCAACTATTATGAGGGCTGAAATTCTATCCCATATGACTAGCTTGAACCTGAACTTTCCATGGTATTTTTGTTTTGCTTAATATTATCCATTGTTTGACGACAAGCAATAGCTTAAGTTTGGGGTGCGATAACTACGTAAAAAGGCTATATTTAGGGTCTTTTCACTTAATTTATTGCCTGTCAAAGATCTCATATAGGATCATATAGATGCATTTAGGAGCATCTAGTTGCATATGGTGGAAATATATTTTACCGGGGCATTTTATTTTGTAAACGGTGTTACGTTATGGGGAATGTATCTTGTTTGATGACGTGTAGTATTTGGGAAAAAGAATAAGAAAAGGGAATTTCCATGACATGATGAGACTACATAGCAGAATGCAAATGCCAAGTCAGACGTCATTTTGGAAGCGAAAAAGATGAAAGATGATATTTTCAAAAGCCAATTGTCCTTGTCTTCACGTGCCCTCAATCGTTAGTCACCTAGGAGGGAATATCTGCCACCTGAGTCAGTTGATTCTATCACGGCCACGCCTAGCTACAAGCTGCCCAGGAGGGAACCACGCCCAACTGCCCTAGAGGGGACCACTGCCACAACTGCTGACCCCCTCACGTGAAGGGAGCCTGATCGGGGTATCTTAGGAATTTTAACATAAATTCCTAGGTTTATTCCCCCTATAAATAGGAGATGAAGCCACCAAAAGAAAAAAGACTTTACACGCCGCCTTTAGCTAAATTTCAGATAGAAAAAGGTCTCTCCTTTTTCTGTCAATCATTTTTTCCGTGACATTCTTCCATTATCAAGCTAGAGGGAGTGGGGAGTTAGGCGTCCGAGAGGAGCTAGCGAGTTGGGGTAGTTCGTGGTGGCCGAGGGGAGCTCTGGCTGTGCACGTCGAAGGATTTTCCTCCATTCCTTTAATTTTTTTCTCTCTTTTATCTTATTTGGGTTGTATGAAACGGATTAATTTTATGGCTTGATGCTTGAAATATTCAACCCCACCATGACTAGTCTTATTTGGTGGGAGTTCCTTATAGATATTTAAGTTTTATATTAATGGATGGTTATTTTTGTATGTTTATTTGTTTTGTTTATGATGTTTAATGCCTTAAGGTTGTAAGAGCTATGAGAGTAACCATTCCTTAGGAGATTACTTAGTGTTCGAGAGAATGACTAAGTAGCATATCCTTAGTGTTTAAGAAAAAAAAGAAGGATCCACATAAGCAAGGGGTTCTAGATAGTAACTAGACCTAACCCAACCTTAGACATAAGGCTAGGATTTCAATTGACTAAAAGGAGTAGTGCTCGGTCGAGAGGTTATATGCTAGTGTTGCCGCTAAATGATATTGACGTGACATATTATGTTATCTGAACCAATAGGATCCCTGCACTTGCTAACGCCAATAAGTTTTGCCATGACATCCTAAACCTGCCAAGTCTCATGTTTCCTAAAGTTATTTTAATCAAATCAGTGTTTACATTTCATTTTTTCTTTACATTTTCAATTGATTCCATTACAATCAAATTAATTTTTCCAAAACATTTCCATCCACTTTTTCATGACATTTCCATTTTCTACCATACTACATTACACCATCATTTCATTTTTTTTTCCATAACATTCTCATTTGTATATACAATTACTAACTATACTTAGGTGAAATAGTAAATTGATGTGATTGAACTTATAAAATTCCTCTAATCCCTGTGGATACGATACTCACTCATCACTGTATTACTTGTTCGATTGTGTATACTTGCACATATTTTTGCGACCATATTTTGTAGTCACAATTCGCAGACAGTATACAAAAAGCTGTGTTTTTTCGCTAAAGCAATTGGTTATAGAGGAAACTCAAAAGCCCTGGCTTTATGAATAGATTACATTCAAACCATGACATTGATCGGATACTTGGCAATTCGATGTTTGCTCCACTGTGATTGTCAAGTCAAAGACTTTGTGATGACATGAATCCTTTAGCTAGCCAAATAAAGGCAATTGTAAAATATATAAATACAATAAAGTTGAATTCGGCTTGACAAACAATGGCAAATTAAATCAAATTTACTAAATAAGGAGTTTCAGTGAAGATTGACTAAGGGAGTTGAGAAACACATGTTATAGTCAATTTGACACAAACACTCAGGAATTTCATTTTTAGACTGATATTTCTGCAGTGCATTGGCTAGGGAAGTCTACGAAGCTTGAATAAATGGAATATTTCAGAAAACTGAAATAGAAGTGTTCTAAAAGGTGTAGCAATTTATTATGCTAGTTGCGACATTTTGTTTGCACTCAATTAAATGTCAAGCCAGAAATGAGGGGCATGTATAATGTTCCAATGAGCAGGGAAAAGAAGAAAGACTAGATGGCTAAAACCTTAGAATATAGGAAGTTAGCCTAAAACCAATCCCTAATCCTGACACTTGTTAATGAGCTATAAGTTGGAAGGATTAAGAGAGTAATTAATTCTTTAATATCCAATGAACTCTAGCTTTATGATTTGTCTCAATTGTAAAACCTAGAAAGGGGCAATTTTTTTTCAAAAACTTTTATTAAACATTTTTCAACATTCTTTTAATTGATATTTTTCAAAATTTTGAAAATAAAAGAAGAAGAAAAATATTTTCAAACAAGACAATATCTCTGGAGTAGGCCTTAGTAATTGACACGTGTCTCTCATACACAAAGATCATGCTTAGAATTAGTGCGAGAGCAAGAAATGATAAATGCTAGGGCATTTTTGAAGGCCAATACCATCCAGAAAGAATAAATGTCAGGGATTTTTTGAAGGCCCATATCTTCCAAGAATACAAGATCATTGAATTGAACAGACATTTATTTTCAAAGAGGTAGAAGGGTGTGAAGAATGAAAATGGTGAAGTAGAGTCAGTGGAACTTACTATATATGATTGTTTTGTCTATTATCACAATACAGTTGCATTATTCTAGTTATTGACCATGCATTAATGTTGGCAAGCCAAAGCGTCCTACTTATATTCCCACTAAGCTTTACACTTTGGTGTCCTTAAAATGCTATACAAAAGCTCTGAGCGACATGAAAAGAGCTTCCATGGTTGAAAAATCTAGACAGAAGCCACAAGAAAGGATGAGTAAGTTGTTGAATGTTTACGAACTAGTAACTATAGAGTTGAACCAATGTTGTGATCATGTGGTGTTTCCATAAATCCTAATTTCACCCAAGATGAAGGTTGTTTTATATAACCCCCGAGGTTAAAAGTAAGGAAGGGTGAAGATTTCTCTCCACATAATGAGTGATGGAATTTTAAAGAAACCAGAGAAGCCAAATAAGATTGAACGATGAGTTGTCGTTAACTTCTCAACACGATGTGATACAAATAGTCTCTTTTGACATTCAATTCAGATAGATCCTCTATTCAAGGCGAGTTAAGAGCCCAATCAGAGGAAACTCTACTATCTTGTTGAAAGAATTTGAAGAAATAATCAAGAACATCCAATATAAATTTCCTGGAGCTCCACAGTTCCTCCTTTGTGTTTTACCTGATAAGGAAAATTATGATCCTTATGAATCTTGCCGAGTTTGGCATAGTCACACAATGTATGGCTCCAACTAGGGTCAATGATCAACACCTTACGAATTTGTTTCTAAAAATCAATGCAAAGCTTGGAGGAATGAATTTGATGTTAGCAATTGAGCAAACACATTCAATTCCAGTTTTGTTTAAGGTTCCAACTATCATCCTTGGCATAGATATGTCTCATGGTTCTTCGGGGAAGTCTAATATTCCATTAATTGCTACGGTGGTCAGCTCCAGGCAGTGGTCTTTGATTTCCCGCTACAAGGCAGCAACATTTCACAGTCTCCAAAGCTTGAAATGATAGATTCTCTTTTCAAATCAAGATGAAAGCTCCATTTCTACACAAATTCATGCAAATAAAGCCAATTTTTATCAAGGGCAAAATTTGTTGGGCAAGAAGAAATTGTAACGAATCAAGAATTACAAAGATGCACGCTGGTGCAAACAAAAGAGTGAAGACAACTGAATCAGAGATAGAATGAAGACTGCTCATGCAACCATTCCCATCACAGATCAAGAAAATATGCATCAACATATACATACATGTTACATGAAATTGCATCTTTGTATCATACATTCATCATACATTACAATAAAAATGATTTTTCCCTTTTTATAAGGATGCTTTTATAATTGCTTTTGAGAAACTAATTACTTATTTCTCAAGATCGTCTATCTAAAAACATCAATCTAGTCTTTCTTAATATTGTTGTTCCTAAAATCCTTATTTCATTTTCTCTCAAAGGCCATTTTTCTCCTCTCATGAGGACATCGTCTAAATTTCCCTTTCTCAAGGTCGTTTTCTCCTCTCACGAGGACAAATTCAAAAGGTCATTTTTATCAAAATAAAAATCAAGTCAAATACATGAAATTAACTTCATCAAAACATCCAAAATAATCATTCATAAATGCAAATTTTGAATTTGTTTCACTTGAAACAAAGTTGATCTCACTTGAGATTGTTTTTCTCAAAACAAATTTTTTCTCACTTGAGACAGTCTTTTTTAAGACACGAATATTTGATAGGAATTCAATGTTAGCAAAGAAATCATTCCAAAATTTCATGTTGGAAAAGAATATTTTATTTCAAGTCAATCATTGGCAACTATGACTAGCTCTCCTCAACACGAAGGAGCAGTGTCATCCTCAGACAATTAGACTTCCTCATCACGAAGAAACAATGTCATCCACATACCAGGTCTCCTCAATGTGAAGGAGCAATGTCATCCTCATACAATCAGACTTCCTCAATGCGAAGGAACCGTGTTTGTCTCCAAATTATCCCTAAAGATGGCTAGACTTCCTCATCACGAAGGAACAATGTCGTCCACCGACTAGATCTCATCAACGTGAAAGAGCAGTGTCATCCTCAGAAAACCAGACTTCCTCATCATGAAGGAACTGTGTTGCCTCCAAATTATCCCTAAAGACGGCTAGACATCCTCATCATGAAGGAACAATGTCGTTCACCGACCAGGTCTCCTCAACGCAAAGAAGCAGTGTCATCCTCAGATAATTAGACTTCCTCAACGTGAAGGAACCGTGTTGTCTCCAAATTATCCCTAAAGGAGGCTAGACGTCCTCATCACGAAGGAACAATGTCGTCCACCGGCCAGATCTTTTTAACATGGATAAGCAATGTCTTCTTCAACGCCAAATTATCTCCATATTGACATGACTTCCTCAACGAGAAGGAACAACGTCAGCTTCAGCAAATAATTTACCTAAAAAGGGTCAGAACTCTTCAAAATAGATGAGCAATATCGTCTTCAACACCAAATTATCTCCAAATTGAACTGACGTCCTCAACATGAAGGAACAGTGTCATCTTTAAATCCTTTTTTTTCAGACAAACAATTTGACCTCCATACGCGGAGTAAACATCATAATTAGACAAAATTAGGCCATTATTTGTCTTTGCTTCGTCATTGTTTAAACAACAGACGAGCAAAGAGGGGCATCTGTAATACCCTAATTTTGTCCTAAAATTAAAAAGGCAACAAAATATAAGGACTAAGTTCATATTTATACCATTTTTAATTTTGAGAGGGTATAAAAACCAACCAAAATAGAAAGAAAAAGCCCCCCGATTTTGTAGAAGAAAAAAAAGAAAAACAATAAAATCGGGGCTCTCTTCCCTTCACATTTTTTTCTTGTTTTTTTTAGAATGAGCATGAAAGGGATAGTAAGGGAAATGGCTTTTCTCTTTCCTCTAGAGTGAGTGTTCTCTGGTCACGCCTAGGCGGTGCACCACCACTGGAGACTATTTCGACCGTATATGTAGAGGGGAGTTTGGTTTTGCTCTAAGTTTGGTTCAGTTTTCCTTTAGGAGAGAGGAGTCTCAGGTTCTAACCTTGGGAAAGTTTGGTTTGGTGGCCACCTTTGGTGGTGGCCCTTGAGAGTGTAACCGTCGTTCGTGGAAGTGGGTGGTTAGCCATGGCCATTTCGGTCGAAACTAGAGATGAGACTTTTAGGGGTGGTTTTACTTCGGTTGTGTGCTCCCTCTGTCACCCGTGTCGTAATCGGAGTTTGGAAGAGCGTAAGCGGTCGATGCTCGACTACCGTTCGGCCTTACGAGTGTTGAGGCATCACCGGCGTAGGGCTTAACTTTAAGCCTCTCAGCCGTGAGTTGAGGAAGAAATGGGCTGAGATTTCACATGTTTTTCCTATTTAGTTTAGGTGGGGGAATTGTTTTAAAATTTTTGGGTAAATTGCATGTAAGTCCTCCCTATTTTCGCTTGTTTTATGTTTTGGTTACTTGTTTTAGGGGATAATCACCCATAGGTCCCTCCATTTCTACCATGAATTTACACTTTAGTCACCTGATTTCTATGCCTTTTTATTTATTTCAAACTTGAGCATATCATTCTAGTTTTTTATATTTTAGTCATTTATCTATAATCTAGTTATTTTAGTTTTGCCTTGCTATTTTCGTTTACTTATATATTGGTCATTTATTTATAGATTATTTATTTTAACTTTGATGTGTTTCTTTTGTTTATTTATATTTTGGTCACCATATTTTTATTTTTTATTGCATATTAACCACTAACTTTTATTTTATTACACTCTAACCATTGTTTATTTGTTTATTTATTGTTTATAATATTCGATTTGACCATGTGGTGACCCGATCCAGGGTACGATCCATATTATTATAGTCTGGACTCTACTAACCACTAACTGTTTTTTATTTTATTTTTATTAATTTGTTTGAATTATTATTCGATTTTGTAGTGACCCGATCCGGGGTACGATCCACATTATTATGGTTCAGACTCTGCTAACCACTAACCGCTAACTTTTTTAACAGCTAACATTTCAAACAGCTAATCACTAACCGCTAACTTTTCTAACAGCTAACCTTTCTAATTGCTAATTACTAACCGCTAACCTTTTATTTATTTATTTGTTTTATTTTATGTCTGAACCATGTACGACCTTGCGACGACCCGCCTCGGTGTACTACTCCCATTATTTACAGTCTGGGATAAATGATAAAATTCAACATTAACATTTTATTTTTATTGCATTTTATTTTTTGTTATTTAATTTCATGCACTTTTAAATTTATGCCTTTTAATTTATTTATTTAATTTCAGTCCTTTAATTTCATTGCTTTAATTTTCTGTCTTTCTACTTTTGCTTTTTAATTTTCGGTACTGTAATTTCAATCCTCTAATTATTGTGCTTTATTTTCTGTTTATTCCATTTTAGTCAATAATGGGTTATGCTTTGTTATTTTATGTTGTAGTTTCAATCTATGCATCTTGGTCAACATGGTTTCCTGCTTTAAATATTTTTTATTTTTGACTTTTCATTTTGGTTCATTCTAATATGGTCACTCATTTTTTTTATTTTTAAATATAGCAGTCCTTTTATATTTATTAATATAACCTATGTTTTAAATCATCATTTGTTAAAGTTGCGACTACTCTTATATCGATATAATATTTGGTAAGATTTCATATACTCGTATGTTTTCAAGAACACTATCGTAGAATGGGCGTGAAAAGCACGGCTTGATCAAAGTAGTGCGATTTGACACGACATTCAAACGAAATGTGAACTTGAAATAAATCGAGCTTATTTTTACAACGACGATAATTAATTCATGTTCAGTTTAATTTAAATGATGTAATGCATGTCTCTTTAAATAGCAATTTGTTTCATACTAATATAGATAGCCAATTTATATTCGATTTATGCTTTTGATAACGTTGGGGAGGGGGACGTTTCTCGTATAAAGGAGAAATAAATGGGATAGCCTTCGGGTCGAAGGATGTGTGAATCCCATGGTTTCTTCTCAAAATAAGGAATGTTCCCTCATAAATAATTCGAAATAATTTATTCAATGTTCAATAAAAGGGTCACACTTTAAATATCGATTCGAATTTACGATGTCCACCATTTACAACAATGTATAAGCGATTAGGTACCAGATTTGGGCATTGTGGGAGTGTTAATCCTTCCTCACGCGTAATCGACTCTCAGATCCTAAAAAATGAATCTTTGATAACGCAGACTAATTTTTGTCTTGAAAACGATTTTTCTTAAAATTGTTTTAAAGGTCGATGGCTACTCCGATTCAAATTAATTCAAAATCTCCATTTCTTAATAAAGTCATAATTGTTTTTAAAATATAATTGTTTTTTAAAATATAATTGTTTTAAAAAGATGGTTACGACAGTCTATATGTGATTCTTAAAAAAGAAAACACAAACTGACTAGTGTATTATTCCTCCAGGTTCGGTTTGAGCTCACATTCTTTGCTCTAAATCCCGAATTAAATGTTGTGGCTCCTTGGAGAGAATGGGATATTACAGGGAGAGAAGATGCTATTGAATATGATAAGAAGCATAATGTGCCTGTACCGGTGACAAAGAAATCGATGTACAGCAGAGACAGGAACTTATGGCACTTGAGCCATGAGGTTCGGTAACTAAGCCTTATTAGGCTGTTTTCTTTTTGGCGCGTCAATCTTTCTATAAGCTCCTTTTCTTTACTTAACGCTATTCTGTTTGTTTCGTTCCAATATTAATTTATCTTGGCATTGAAGGGAGATATCTTGGAGGATCCAGCAAATGAACCGAAGAAAGATATGTACATGATGAGTGTTGACCCAGAAGATGCACCTGATGAACCACAGTAAATTTACCTTCCTTTTCAATTTTTTCCATGTGTTTTGGATGTCAATTTAACAGCTTACGCGCACAATGTCTACAGATATGTGGAAATCGGAATTGATTCAGGCATCCCTGTTTCACTTAATGGAAGGACTCTTTCACCGGCTTCTCTTCTTGCCGAACTCAATGAAATTGGTGGGAGACATGAGATTTGCCGCTTTGACATGGTTGAAAACCGGCTTGTTGGTATGAAGAGTCGTGGAGTCTATGAAACTCCCGGTGGTACCATCCTATTCAACGCTGTGGGGTGAACTGGAGTCCCTAACCCTTTGACCGGGAAACCATCCAAGTTAAAGACTCACTTGCCCTCAAGTATGCTGAGTTAGTTTATGCAGGAAGGTGGTTCGACCTGTTGGTAATGCTCAATTTGTAACAGTCTTTTAAAGGATTTTAATTCTACGTTTAATAGAATTAAATTATGATTTGGAAGTGACTATTTTACCCTCACTATTTAGCCTATAAATAGAGAGCAATTTCATTCACTTTGAAACATCCTAAGCAAACATTTGCTTTGAAACACTCCTCTCTTTTGAGTGTTGTTTGAGTTGAGAGAAGTGCAATACCACCAAGTTCACTCCAGTTTTCGGGTGTACGAATTCTTGGAGAGTCGTGTTAACCTCAGGGGTTGTTCATCCATTGTAGCAATTACACACATCGGGGCGAATTTACTTCTAAGGCAGTGGATTACCACGACACAGTTATCTTTCTGATTGATTATTTTATTTAATATTTTACAGTCAGTGCTAATGCCTCGTTTTGCAGCAGTCTATTTTACCAACAATTTAGAAGCAAATTCTTACTGCTGCTAAATACGACAATAATTGCTATTGTTCGTGTTGTGAAGAAAGATAGATTCTATGATCACTGGAAAATTATCGGTAAGAAACTCAAATTGTTCATGTTATTAATATTGAGGTAATATTAAAACACACTTTTGAATAATCTAGTCTGTTAATCTAAAACATTTTTTCGGAACGGTTCCTGTTTATAAGATGAACATACGTTAGAAATGTTTAAAAGCATAATATTTTAGCTTAAATCAAATTCTGCACGTTAGACAGATCATTTTAACAATTGTTTTTAATGTTTTGTTAAACGCATTTATGCATGAGGTCTAAAACCATATGAACGTTAGCAATTAAAACATTTTAACATTGGTTTCAAAATCGGTTTTAAAGGTGAATAAAAAGGCATTTGTGGTAAAGATATGTGATAAATTCATAGTTGAAATTCATACTGCTGCTATGCTGAAGAATTCGTTGGAACCATTCCAAAACTTTTTAAAAGTATTATTAAGGTTTTTTTGGTTGTTTAAGATACCATAATTGATTATGGTTATGGTGCTTAAGTTAATAACATTTTTTTATGGCCATTGAATAGAATTCAAGGAGAAATGATTTTTAGAATTCATGGTTGTTTAAACGTTTAAAACGTTTTTGAATATATATCTATATTTTATTGCTATAGTTTAGAATATAGTAAAATATGTATTTGAGAAAAAGATGATTTCAATGCTAAGATGCTTTAGATGCTATAATGATATATGAGTTATAACCATTGTTAGCATAATGAGAATTTATATATTTATTAATATGCTATAACGGTTTCACTAATGTGATTTTTGTAACTTATTATGTTGTTATATTAAAAGGAGCATGTTAAAAGGTGTTGTTACATGAGTTAAAGGTAACATCTTTATTTGCTAATATGTTTGGGTTGAAACAATTCTATGCATTTATTATAGCTTTAAATATTGGATTTATATTACTTTGTAAATAAGTTTGAATTGAAACGTTGAATAATTTTAATTGGCCATTAATTGTGCAAATTATAGCTTTAATGGTGTTTATTTACAAACTAATATACAGATTGAAGTATTATCCGATGGTGGTTTCACTTGTTCTCGTTTGGGTCTTGGTACACGAGAATGTTGAAATTGGTTAATTTATTATTATTTTTATAATAAATTTTGAATTGTTATTGAAATGCCCATTTGTTATATGCATGGCGAAAGAAACCTTTAATGTGCATTAAGATTAATCATTTTAAATGCAATAAAGCTTTGCATTAATTTTTACATGAAAATCATGTTTACACATTTAGTGTTGCAGTTTCATGATTTTTAATCTTAAGCATGAATGTTAATTATAACCATTATATTTAAATGGTTTTTAAGTTTCAATAGGAGGTTGAATGATTTATTAAATAACTATATAAATGTTGGTGTTTAGTAAATGATCAATTTTTAAACTTATATGATACAATCAAGAAGTAACATGATTATAATGTTGATTAACATTTTTGTTTGAGATAATGCATGTATGATTGGTTAATATGTGGAGATGAGTAACTATTTATTTTCATGTGGTGGTAAGACTATTCTGTTTCTGAATAAAAAAAATATCAACTCACTTGTCGTACTAATAATTTCTTTTGAGAAATTTATAACGATAACATAACAGTTGCAATTTTGGAGAATCATAAAGATGATGATGTTGAACGAGAAGATTCTTCAAAATGATGAAGCAAAGAATGAAGTTGCATGCATGGTGAGAATGAACAAGTCTATTTGGAATTTTGATTCTACCTGCGAGGTCAGATTATTTAGACTTGTTGTCTGTTAATTCATGTTTTTTTAAATACATGAATTAGATTGCATGAGCCTTTAAGGTAGTCTTTAAAACTTAGTGGATACTATGAAATGAGATAAAACCACTAGTAAAGACTAAGGTAGTACTACTAAGGCTAAGGCAATAGTGTGAGCCCAAAAATATATATGTTTAATAAGATACAATTGTGATTAAAAGTATCAAGCATAATTCTTTAAGAATCCTTAAGAAAGAGAAAATTTATAAATGATTTATTAGTAGTGGTACTGACTAGTGCCACCATCTATAGAAATTATTAGCATTACTATCTATGAGAGATAAAAACTCTTAAACTTAGTGCAGAAGTTAAAAGAGAGATTAATTTGGTTGAGTGGAATACCAAATTTGGTCATAGTAATAAAATTATGATGATCTCTTAAGGCTAATATGTTAATATCATGAATGAGAATATAATTATGTATAAACAAAATTTGAGTTGGTTAAAATATAGTTTTATGGCTAAAACTCATAACAAACTTTACTCTAGTATGATTGAGTATTTGTTTACACGTTGTTCAAGACACTTATGGATATCCTAAAATGTTAGAAATGTGGGGGTGTCTTAAAATGTAGATTAAATGCTTAAAATCAAATAGAAAATATTCTATCTACTTTTTCTAGTATTCCTGCTAGGTCTTCTCAAGAAATTGATTTCGAGCCTAGAAGAAGTAAAAGGCTATTTGGACCAAATTTTATCACTTCCTTTATTTATGAGATAAATGATTTAGACTCTCTTTCTGATCATATAGCTTAATATTATATGAGGATCCTAAAAAGGCTATAAAATCTATCGATGCTAGTTCTAGAAAACCGTATTAATGATGAACTAGAATCGGTAATGTCTAATCATACTTGGGAATTAGTTGACTTGCCTAAAGGATATAAACGAATCTGTAGCAAATGAATCTTCCGGAAGAAAATGAAACTAGATGGTTTGATCCAGTGGTAAAAGGCAAGGCTAGTTGTCAAAGGGTTCACTCAAAAGTTTGTTTTAGACTACTTTGATTCTTACTCTCCTATTATGAACATCTCAACGATCCGTGCATTATTTGCACTAGCCTCCATTCATAAATTGCGAGTACATCAAATGAATGTTAAGACTACATTTTTTAATAGAGATCTAGATGAGGAGATCTATATGGGAACATTGGTACATGAAATTTCATAAAACTATACTTAATTTTGGTTTTGTTGTGAATGGTTTGGATGCTTGTGTGTATTTGAGGATGTTTGGTACTGATTCCATCATCATAAGTTTTGTATGTTGATGACATGTTGATTTTCAGTTCTAACATTGAGTCTATTAACAAAATAAATAGTTTCTTGTCCACTAATTTGAGATAACGGATCTGGGAGAAGTCAGTGTAATCTTAGGAGTCAAAATTACTGAAAAGGGATTTTCTTTATGTCAAGCACACTATCTTGAGAAAGTATTAAATAAATTTGACAGTTTTGATGTCGTCTCTGTTCGAACCCTTATGACCCTAGCATATATCTCTTTAAGAATAAAGGAAGTAGTGTTTCCCAAACAGAATATGATAAATTAATTGGAATCTTAATGTTCTTAATGAACTATACTCGACCTGATATTGCTTATGTTGTAAGTAGACTAAGTAGATATACTCTTAATCTGAGTGGTGAACACTGGATTGCTCTTAGATGCTTACTAAGTATCTTAAGAGTACTTTGGATTGGAAACTTGATTTTGTTGGCTATCATGCGGTACTGGAAGGATATTGTGATGCCAACTGGGTTTCTGATAATTATGAGGTAAGCTCTACAAGTGGGTATGTTTTTACTTTAGGTGGAGAAACAATCTCGTGGAAATCATCAAAGCAGGCTGTATTTCTCGTTCTACCATTGAGTCAGAGTTTATAGCTCTTGACCTAGCTAGGCAAGAAGTCGAGTGGCTCAGAAGCTTGTTAGTAGATATTCTGTTGTGGGGAAGACCGACTCCTCTGATTTCTTTATTGTGTGATTCACAAGCTACGATATGTATACAATGGTAAGAAAAGACACATTCACATAAGGAATGAATCAATTAGACACTTAATAAAGAATGTAGTGCTCTCTTTAGAGTATGTGAAGTCGAAAAGGAACCTAGCATATCCTTGGTCCTAGATTCGTCGAGGGGGATGGGCCTAAAGCCCATTGGTTGAGGAATTCATGGTGAATACCCAACTTAGTTATCTAAGTTCCATGTGGTCAAATGAAACTATGGAAAGACTCATAGTGCACATTCCTACTGCCTATCCTAATGATGAATAATGTGCATGCCCAGGATGAGCTTAATTGCTCTTAATAAATTCATAGCCCATGCTTTGGGTGGTCTTAGTGAGAAAGACTTGATGAATTTACCGATTTTGGCTGAATATCTATTCTTAATAAGTTTATAACCCAGAGTTGAGTGGGTACTTCTAATCGCGAAGGACTAGATGAGCTTACCGCTTGAGAGGATGAGTTTTTATTAAACTCCTAATGAATTCAAACCCAAGAGTTTGGGAGTTCCTAGTGAAAAGGACATATTGAATTTACCGAATTATAAGGTTGAATATTTATTCTTAATGATTTCTTATCCAGAGTTTGGGTGGTTCATTTAAAAATGAACTTGAAGAAATTCACCTTATCTATTGTGAGGTTGAGATGTTATAAAAGCTATTAATTATTTCATAGTTCAGTTTGAGGGGTTTATGTTGAGATAGACCTGATGAAATAACATACGTAA